CGTGTGCTCTTCCGATCATTAGAACTTTCGTTTCCGAGATATTAAAAATCGGAAATCTGACGAGGTAAAACTTCGAGATAAAGCTAAGCGGTAGCGCAGTGCCAGTGCCGTATACTCACAAGTCATCACCCGACTTTTATAATATTATATACTTGGCGTCGCGCCGCTACCGCAGCGCTTGATAAAATTCAAAATTTATCATGTTTCAGTGATTTTTTTAATTATTGTGCAAATTATTAATTTTAATCGATTTTATAATTTATTATTTTACCTACAGTCGAAAATATCGTTTTCTTCTTACAATTGATTTGAGTCATGCATTCAGAGATTATCATCATGCATTAAAAGATGGAAACATATGTTCCTATTACTATAATCGTTTCTTTATTAAAATCTAAATAAGTAGGTACTTATTTAGATTTTAATAGAGCACACTTAAACAGCACACTTTATATATCTAAGAGACATCCTGGAAATGTTCTTATTAGAACGTTCTTTCAATGACTTCAACGTGAGAACGTCTCTGAAAGGTGTGTACTGTATTAATATTATATAATATTTATCACAAAGTCTTCTTTCACGATATAAAAATCAACTACTCTTAATTATTTACTCTTTTTATTCTTAACTCTTGACACACAGAAAGTTAAGCAACTTATTAATTTCTTAACAAACATATTTCTATATAATTCTTTTAAATTTTTACCATAAATATAGACTTTTTTCTACGCTTTTCTTCATATAAAACATGTAAATTCAATTTTATTAAACTTATAAATATACACAGTAGAAAAACTTAAATTCTGAATAAGCATTTTTGATTTTTTTACTGAGATTGCGTTTTATTATAAAGACAAGATAAAAAAAAAGGATAAATGAAGGAACTACATCCCAACTCAAAATCAATTAAAGTGGCGCAGTGAGCGCGCGCGCTTTTCTTTTATAATTGTAACATTTTGAAACAAAATAACACCAATCTATTGATAATACTGAATATAATTTAAGAGCAATTAGCTGTACGTGCTAGTAACGAGATTACAGAGCAACGAGTGTGAATTTTCTTTTATTCTAAAACTATGATGTATGTAGGTTGATTGTGAAAAGCGGCGTCTACAATGAGACTTAAGACCTAATAAGATTTAAGAAAATTGATCAATCATAGTGGATTATTCATCTTATGTGAGAAAAATAATCGATTATGATTGATCAATTTTCTTAAATTTTAAGTCTTAAGTCTCATTGTAGACGCCGCTAAACAGAATTATTACAATTTTTAAGAGAAAAAAGTCTCATTGTCAGTCATATTTTCTAATAGTTTCTATCCCATCTACATATTTGGCTTTGGTTCATCGTGTAATTATAAATCAAAGTTTTATATAATATTTTATTAATATTCCATTATTTATACGCGTAATTTGTTTACTTTATATTAATATCTTAATATGACATTATAAAGTAAGTTATTATACTATAATACATCGATTTGAGAGAACCAATTAAGGCAGCTGCAAACATATAATGTAAGACGCCTTTCAAAGAAGAATTTGAATAAAGCTCGCTTAATATTATTATTTATCAATCTTTTAAATAAGATATTTTTTTAAACGGTATTTTAAAATATCTTTAGACAGGACAAAATTAGACAATTTGTTTCATTTTTATTCTTGATATTAAAATGGCACTGTACTTACTAAAAGATTTTTACTTAATAGCCGGAAAATAAATAACTATCCGATCCAACAGTTTTGGATTTTGCGACACGTTTCTTTAAATTGATACAGTACTCGTTGCGGAAAAAATTAAGTCTAATAGAAGCAAACATATGTAATTAATGGTCGCCTTCAGTAGAACGTTTATTTTTCAATTGTTGAAAAATCTCTTTACTGACAAGATAAGACTGATTTTCTAAATTAAACTATAAATTTAAATATATGATTCAAACAGCGCGCAGAAAATTTTTAATAATTATAAAATAAACGTTCTGAATGCGATGTTAGGAATGAAGAATTGATTTTTCGAACTTAAATTCTCGCGTCTCTTGTTAATGCACCTTTGAATAATGCACAACTTACACATCTGCTTGCGGCAGTCAAGGAGAAAACGCTGTGTATTATATTTATGCATTATATATACATATGTGTATATGTATTACGTTTAAGAGGGAATGGACAAAAGAGGATTAATGATTGCTTGTAATTACTATTATCAATCATTGTCGTTGGTAATAAACGTTAATCTTAAATATTATACTGCTAACCTTTGCGACAAAGATATATTGCTTTACATGTCCACGATCAATAAAGCAAATATGAGAATCACACGCATGTTATAATGTATATTCTGTTTTTTCTAAATCGCATGTATATTGTACTTAAATCACACAATTGACAGAATAAATAGATATAAAATGGCAAATTTCCATAGTTGATGTAATTTACATAATTTTACAGCTATACATAATTTTTAACAGCTATTTCTTGTACATTATATAATAAAATCTGTCGTGCAAAAAAAGAAATTTTATCTTCTAATAATTTTTTAAAATCTATCATGAGAAAAAAGAAATTTTATCTTCTAATTACCCATAAGCATACCTAAGCAAATTATTAACATTTAAAAAACGTTTAGCCAAAACATTTTTATGACATATACGAAATGTAAAATAAACGTTATTAACATTAATTATATACGTTTATTAATCTGTCGAGATGTCTCGTATAAAACGATATTTTAAATTAGTAAAAGAGAAGTTAAATAGATGCTAATACAAACGTCTAATATGTTTTTGTGACGTTTATTAAATAATTATTAAAAATTAAATCAAATTTTAAACTTACTTTTCAATTTATTTATTTAATGTTTTTAACACAATTTATGATGTTTATTAAACGTATTTTGTATGTATCTTGATGCTTGAATATTTATGTCATCCGGTTAATTTTAATCAAACGATACATAAACATTTTTTAGAAGCTTATAAAAATATGTATATTGTTGGATCTTCATTGATTCTCTCAATCAGAAATAAGATTTCTTTATTGAAATATCAATAGATCACTATAACAAAAGAGCACAATTTGTTGTAGTAAATATATTATCTAAAAATATAATATAACTATATGTACCTATTTATAAAATAATGAATATAAATGTACAAGCTTTTGTAATATTTTTATATCCTGCGTTACCAAGTACATTAAATTCGCTGTCTCCTTAAACTTAATAAATTTCATTTTTCAGATTATCTCGAAATACATAGTACATATGCCATAGTACATATATAAAAGTATATTTAATATATTAGTATAATATTAGTATATATAAAATCTAAGTATAGAACATCTTTACAAATTGATCTAACATTCTGTATCTATATTATATAACAAAAAATATAATAAAAAACAATTTTCAAATATATTTAAATTGAAAGGAATTAGGCTCGAAAAATAAATCAGAAATATATAACAAAGTAAAAAAAAATAATATTAACTTTTATAATTATTTTAATATTTTGTTAGTTCTTTTTTAACTTTTATTTCATTTTTTTCAAGAAAATACAATAAATTGGGCTACTTTATATTTTATACTATGGCCAAGGATGTATAAATAAAATATACATTTGTAAATATATATTTACAGCCTAAATATACATCTATGTATGTCTTAACGCAAATATCCGTAATAAAAGGTTGATGATCTTTGATGTAATATGTATGATAATAAGGCGACTTAACAAGTCGTAGCTTCATCCTTGCACATCACACTCGAAAAAGCAATAATAATGATAATATTAAGAACGGAAAATGGAGACACAGAATCGACTATCCCGATCGTCTAGTGAAAGTGCTTCAAACACAATTCACGTGCTTCAACCTCCCCGAGTATATCACAAGGCGAACTCTTACCAACAAGCTCAGTATCATCTTCACCATCCTTCAACTTCCTGACCCAGTCTTTATATAGTCTAACACACCGGTTGCTGTGCAGTGTGCATTGTAAAGATATTTTCAATTAGAGAAACAAAAAAATTTAATTTCAAAATATTATTAGTAACTTTGTTTACGAGCAGCGTGAATCTTCGAGGAGTGTGTGTGTTTCATTTAATTAAGAGAAAATTTATCACAAACTTCCAAGGTACGTATTTTCGTCATACCACATTTAGCGTTCTTTTTTATTTGTTACCACAAATACTTCTTTCTACAAAATTATGTAAATATTAAAATTAATATAAGTTAATGAACCATTAATTTTATATTATACTAGCACTACAGACGCGCGCTTCGCGTTATTTAATTGCCCTTTTACTTTTTACTATAATTGACTATTATATTGCTTTGTTGATTAAAAAAATGACTCAAATCAAAAATTAACATTTTTGAGCTAATAAAGGAAAATCAACTTTAAAAATTAATATATTTTGACAGAAAAATAACACATGTGTATCAAAACAAATGTTTACTTATATGGAAAAGTGTCACAATTTTGATAACAGATGAAATTTATATTATACTAAGATTACAGTGTTCGAATTTTGAAAATGTATGACACAGTTTTAAAAAATATAATTATAATTATAACATCGGTAGAAAGTAAAGTGCATATTTATTATTCTAATTAAAACATTTTAATATTAATTCAAAATTTTAAAGATACTCTAGTAAAAAGTTGCTAATTTTGAAATGTGTCACTTTTCTATCAACGAAACATATATATTTATTATATTGTACAATGTGCAATTAAATAATTTTAAGAAAAAGTATTGAAAAATAAATAATTAAAAATATATACGCTTTTATATTATAAAATTACTAATTGGAACAAATCAAATCTAAATCATTGTCTTATTAGTTGCTTTATGTAGTAAAAATATGTACGTAACTGTTTTCACAGGCATATCACTATCGACCAATTTGTCATTAATCTTTCGTTAAAATCCTTGTAATCACACATTGCAAAGAGATGTGAGAGAAACTTTCTTCTCTTATGTCAACAGGAAATGTTCCTACGTGCAATTTCTCACGTCAAAGTTTTTAAACCTTTGAGCTGTTAAAAAATAAAAAATAAGATTTCGTTTTTATTTTTCTAAAATGTCTTCTTTTCTCTTTTCTTTTTTTTTCTAAATGAAAATCACGATCTTTTCCTTTTTTTAAACAAGATTCATATAACTTTACACAAAATGAAATTGTATAACAATATACTATTCTTCGATAACACTTTTCGAGAAACGGCAAATGAAAGACATTATGAAAAGCATTCATGTGCTCAGTCTAACCGCCGTTTAAGCTCTTAAAAAATAAACAAACAGTGCAAGTAAATGTGTATAACCAAAACTTTTCCAGAAATACAATTCGCGTAATGTGATATTAAAATCATCTAGAATTGAATTTATTAGAACAAAAACATAATATAAATAAGTCGTTCAACGATCTTACGATTAATAAATAAATGCAACTACAGTCGAACCTCGATAACTCAAAGCTCAAGGGAAGAGAAAATATCTTCGTGTTATAAAGTTTTTGACTTATCGAAATTCGAGTAAAAGAGGGTTAACATATGAAAATTCGACTTACGGAGGCTTTGTACGAGAGTTTATAATTTTCCGATTATAATGGCT